CCATAGCTTCGTTGGCATGGCTAGGGAAACAGCTGCCATGCCCCCTGCATGTGAAAGGTGGTGGAAAATCAGTGAAAGAAGTGGCGGTGGAAAACCCTTTGTCCAGGGGTGGACACACACACACATACACGATGGGGACATTTTCAACAACATGACCGGAAAACAGTTGAAAACTACGCCAAGAAATCTCTCAAAAAGAGAAGCCGATGATGATAAGGTGGACAAAGAACTTCAACACTCTACACAACACCCTTCCAACAACACGTCCTGGTCTGCTTCTAATCTCATTCCCTCCACACCATAGCACTCTTCCCATCGTCCATCATCCTGGTGAGTCTCTTGCTGCTCCGTGCTTTCCATTGCATCATGTAATGTTTGGGTTCAAGTCTTCTGGCTCTCTTTGAAATCGGCATACAAAGCTGCAATCCGCTATCCAGCCTCCAGGATTTCGCGCAAACTCAAGCCCGGAATGAACTCCGAGGCCAGACCATCGCTTGGCACAGCAAGGTCCTGTCTCACAAAGCTGAACAGCAACAGGAGGCTTTGTGAACAAAGTGACTTCGCAGACTCCATTTTCAATGCCGAAAGATCATATCACCACACGCCAAGCTGCCTTTTTCTGTGTCTTGGGAAGACTCAAACAGCACAACGTGCTCTGACTGAAGTCCTCTTTTCAGCCCTTAAAGAGATTCGCGAGGTTTGGGCATACGCAGGATTCGTACAAGGACGGAGTCCCAAAATAACTACAGGCCTTCCATGTTACTCAAAGGTCGCAGCATGCTGGGCGCACATCCATGCTCACACACACACACCAAAAAGACAATATGAAATAACAAGTGTGTGTGTGTGTGTGTCAGGTAAAGATCTCTAGATTTTATGGCAGCGTTATAGACTCTTTTTCCTCCTCCTCCTCCTCCTCACCACTGTCTCCACCTTGCGTTTGCCTCATGGTCCTGTGATCGGCCATCAAAACGACGTGCTTTCGATGCACGGTCCGCGTCGGCTAGGTCCGGTCTACTGCACGTTGGCGCCAGCACGTCACACGCGGAGTTGTTGCGCCGAAGAGTGAGCCAACCCGACCCCAGGGGGCCCCTGGGGCCGGCGCCACGCCTGGGAACGACCTCTGCGCTGCGCTGCTTGTGGCAACGGAAACAGGAATGCCTTTGACAAGTCCTTGAGCGCCAAGCAAAGCATATACCAAAAAGTCCGCGCAAGCTTGGCAAAGCAGGGAGGATAACGTGGCGCGGCTAAGGGCGTATGGCTTGTGAGTCAGCTTGCGCGTGTGAAGATCCAAACGTTTGAAATCGTTTGAACTCGATTTGGGTCAAGCAATAAAGAAGCTGTCCATACTGGTGTGTCACTCCTCCATGCTTCTCAACTCTTCAGCCGTTGTTTCAAATACTGCGTTCGCCCAGCTGTCTGTTCTCGCAGATGACTCGGAACGTTTGCTCTTCAGCTTCTCGCGGGTCTCGAACTCGTAGAGTCCGCACAGCCAGGGCACCGCCACCAGAACCACCAGGGTGGAGATGAGCGAGGCCATCCAAATCGACTCGCCCGGTTTGAGCAAGGCGACTGTGACGACCTCTTTGGGCCCTCCCTCCGCCATCTCAAACTCGCACGAGGCTTTCTGATTGCCATCATCTCCGGGTGGAAGAGTATCAGTATCAGTCTTAATCGATGCCGTGGTCCACGTGGCTCCTTCCTTCCTTGGAACCGGGTTCAGAGAACAGGGAAACAACCTGTTTCTAGACTTCAAGGAGCACCCACTGCAAACAAGAAGGACGCCTGTCTCCACAATTGAAACCACGTCACCTCACGCATGCAAACCACATCCCGTCCACAGGCTCCACTTGAAAGTCCATCCTGTTGGGACCCAACAAAGCGACCCAACAAGCCTCCAATTGACCCGTTGAGAACGGTCTTTTACTGCAAAAACACAAAGCCACCAAAATGGTACAGTACACTCTCTGAAACAAACATGGAAGTGGACAAAGAAAAATAGATGAAAATAGTATTCCATGCAGGAGGCCAGTCAACTTCCATGATTGTTGGAGGGAGGGTAGCACTTGACCCTGAAAGCCCTGCCTGACTTTGATCATGGCAGCACCCAGGCGCCGTGCGCTCGCGCTCGCCGCACCCGGTGCCCGTGCACTCCCTTCAAATTGAATTGCGCGAAAAGGAGCATCAGATGGCTTCAATATCCCTTGATGCCTTACATGACTGTAGGCATTCTTTGAGCTTGAATCGATCAATTCCATGGTCACTGGCACACCTGAGTCTGAAGAAATTCCATACTCCTCAAGCACTGAGACGCTGCGAGCTGCCACTATGGTCGTACTCGTTCCATCAATTCTCACCAAGTCTTCATCTTCAGAAAGAGATGTCAAGAGCTCGCGGTTGAGATTTGAAAGAAGTTCTCCTGCTCTTTCCGAGCTGCTACCACCTTGCGACGCTGAAGCGAGGGAATCAATAGCACCTCGCAGGGCAAGTATGAAGAGTACATGTGGGGTTCAACAGTGGCCTAGCGCTGCGAAGTACGTCTCGCCCTCTCCCTCGCCCTCTCCCTCTCCCTCTCCATCTCCCTCTCCCTCTCGCTCTCGCCCCCTCCCCCTCTATCTATCTCTCCCCCTCTATCTCTCTCTCTCTCTCTCTCTCTTCCTCTCTCTCTCTCTCTCTCTCTCTCTCTCCCTCTCTCTTCCTCTCTCTCCCCCTCCCCCTCTATCTCTCTCTCTCTCTCTCTCCCTCTCTGTGTCTGCGTCCCCCTTTTTTTAGAGCCTTGACAATGAAGGCTGTACAGGAGTACAGGCTGGGCGTGCAAACAATGCTTTTGTCCATGGTGATTTGCCCTGCACGTTTCTTTGGAGAGCAATTGGGAGGCATGAGTATAACCGCCCTGGACAGTTTCAGCACTTTTACCGTTGTCGAGTTAGCTCAAGGCTACGCATTGGCAAAAGAAACACAGGCAAAACCAATGTGCATCTACCCCCTGCATTTTTCAGGGTCTTTCAACACAAGAAGTCAAAGTGTTCACATAAACAGTTTTGGCTGAGGATAGTGGCACGGCGGGTTTGATTGAAGAATGCATAGAAATCATACATCACACACTTGTAAAATAATGTCCAACAAGTCCTACATAAGTGATTCAATTTGTAGTTACAGGAAAACGACCTAGAAGCGCCACCTAGTCGCACCTGTTTTCCTTGAGCCAAATACGTACGAGTGAGACGAAGATGTCAACATACTAGCGTGAAACTACACCCCCCGCTGAACGAAAATGGGAGGAGTGAAGACTATGTACAGTGAATTGAGACCTACGAAGGCATCCGGTCCCCCGGTACGTGCGATTCGGACGAAACCGGTTCCTGCCTTTGAGATGGAGAGGATAATTGACCTCAAAAGGCACGAAAGTCACTGTCAAGTTCATGCTAGTGTTCACTCGTACTGCAAAGCTATACATGTATTGAGTCATCTCATGAAGAAACAGCACAATCTTTTGACGCATCAAGCGGTAAGTGCACGATTGGCCTTTCAGAAAGCAGAAGCATCACCGGTCGGCACACGCTCCCGCGTGGCGAATCAGCACTACAAAAGTAAGTGCGTCTCATGGACTTGCAATGTCACAGGTACTTCGACCTTCAACATACGAATTCTACCATGCTGGTGCTATAGCGAAGCTCGGCATCCGGTCCCCCGGTGCATCACAGAAGCGATCATCAACGGCAACCGCTCCCGCGGTGCGATGGAGGAAGAACACCCTCACATTTGAGAGCCATGCAGCCTGTTGGATGTTTCCTTTTTGTTTGTTTTTTCGATTTTGAATCCAAAGGCAACGACTCCCGTCGTGCGGATGTTTCTATACCAATTGCGAGAGCTCCACCAATCTCGGTTCCAGCGGTCGTCACGCTGCCATTGGCTTGAGCGATCCTGCCACCATCCTTGGCTCCAGTCCCGGTCGCGATTCCACGATGAAGATGCGGATGACCATTGGGTTTGGTGCCAATCTTCGTGAGCACGTGCCTGATCCTGTGCAGCCCTCGCAAGGGCTTTCGCTGATGCGGATTCTGCCTTCGCTCGAGGAACTACCATAGTCCTGGTCTCTTTGCCAAGTCAAGGTTGAAGGCTCGAGCGTTTACGACGCGACCTTGATTCGGCGGTGCCGCGCGAATCGAGCCATGGCATGTGGGGTCATTCCCCCCGATTTGCAAAAACTGCTGGAGGACTATGATGTTCACACGCAGGTCCATGGCAATTCGCAAGAAGCTCCCTTGCTGTGGAACTTGCATCTTCAGACGCCACAAGTTATGGTGCATCTCTTCGCTGGGGGATATGGAGGCTGGACATCAGCACTCCGGTATTTTCAGCCCAAGATCTACCCGAAGGTCAGGACAGTCTCAGTCGAACTGGACCGGAAGTTGGCTTTCCAACATGCACTCAGTCATAAGGAATCGTTTTTTCCTACGGATGCGAAACTTCCTCCTGGATTGCTGGACAAAATTCCCGGGAACCTGATGGTATGTGCAGACATCGCATCGCCAGGGTGGCAGGTGATTATTAATGGTGCTTCTTCCACACTCTGGACACTCTCACCTCCATGCCAGCCCTGGTCCTCTGCGGGAAGGGAACAAGGACTTGAAGATGTAAGGGCACAATCCCTTCCGAAAGTTTTCGCAGTAGCAAGATTTCATCAGCCACCGCTATTGCTCTTCGAGAATGTGAAAGGCTTCCGGCAGCACTCTCAGTACCCTTTGTTCGGCCAACTGTTAAGCTGGGCTGGGTACCAGATATTCTATGAGAACATTGTTGAGCTTGCAGAGATCTGTCCGATAAGGAGACCTCGTTACCTTGCAATTTTGGTGCGCCGTGATATATCCTGGGATGCCTTGCCATCTTGGCAGCCATGGCGAGACTTTACCTTCTCAACCCCATTGAACTTCGGTTGCTGGTCACCAACCCAGGCAAATGAAGTCGAGGACTACTTCCCCTCTGAAGCTACCAAGAATTTCTACATGAGTGCTGAATTGTGTCCAACCCGAGGCGAACAACCGATCTCTACCCATCGGGTCTTTCAGACTAGGGTTCCGGGGCTCAATGTGAAGCAACCGGTTTTGATGGCCAAGTATGGTGAGCAACATCTTTTGGATATCAATCTGTTGCTCGACAAGGGGCTTCATGGTTTCTTTTGCCCTGACCAAATGACCTTTCGTTGGTGGAAACCAGTTGAGCTTGCTCTGATGCATCTGCAGCCACAAGATCTTCTCCTGTTCAGGCCTCGAGAACATGCCTGGCACAGTTTGGGCAACATGATCGCTACACCACATGCAGCGCTACTCCTCCTTAATGCTTGGAATTTGCAATCCGATCCAGCTGACCACATTGATGTGCATTTTGCTATCTCCAAGATGCTCCAGGATCGGCGAACGTTGTCAGCATCTCGTATAGTCTGCCACAAGCACGCATGGATTCTTACCACCAGTCAGGAACTTTCTGAACTGGAAGTTGTCCTTCAGAAGGCGGAAGAAGATTTGGCACCTTTGACAACAGCAGATTTCCGCTGGCCAGATGATGTCTACTGGAGCAATGCATTTGGACTCCAGCCACTCCATAAACTTCGACATCCGCAACATGCTGAATCACCGCATCAGGTGCCTTCACCGGATACCACAGAGAGCAAAGCAGAAGAGAAAGTGAGTGACGATGTATCCGTCACAAAGACCAAAACGTCCTCATCTCCTGGCTCCTCAGATGAAGCACTGAGTTTGCCTACGGAATCCCCGCAACTAGTGCATTTACTTCAGTCACCACAGGAGTCCTCAGTCACGGAGCAGAAGGCCACACAAGCTCACAAACGGAAATATCCTGAAGTTATTGAAGTTGCAGAAACTGTGGAGGAGAACACTGCAACCTCCCCATCTCTGGATGAGGGCTCCGGTAATCAAGAAGACAAAGAGTCACCAAAAGTTGCAGATGCTGCCACATTAGGGGATAACACTGCAACCCCATCGATTCTCTATCACCGCCAACAGCATTCGTGACACCATATCTTATTCCGGGAGAATATGGAACTTTGGCTATACATGGTGCGGTTCAAGCCTGTCAGCTCTCACATTTATGGAGCTATGAAACTCGGGTGGTCCGAGCAGACAATCTGCAACCGTGCTCTGAGCAACACCTGCTGGCTGGACATTACTACAGTATTCCGAGCACTATGATCCAGGCTGATCCGCCGCAGGAGATACCCTTTGAGCAAGAGGCACCTGTCTTGTTCCAGGATTACGATCAGGCAAAGTTCTTCCTAGTTCCCAAGGATCTGCGTGTGGCAGAAGTCATTGACACCTACTTTGAGGGTGTCACCACTCTCTTCGATCAGCATGGAGCCATTCCCAAATTCAAGCATGCGGCAGAGCTTTGGGTCATTACGGTGTTTGATCCTCCCATGACCATCCAGCTCCACATTGACTACTGGATTAATGTCACCCAACCTGTCAAGATTGAAGCAAGGTATCCAGTTGATACCGACCATCTAGTATGTGTCTTTGAGGGGCCAATGGAGTCAGTTGAGAATGTCCTCATGACCTGGTTTCTTGCAGCCTCTCAAGATTGGCAAACTTATCATGCACGACGACCATGCATGCAAATCAATTCTGACAAGCAAGCACGACTGGTCTTTGCCACCATTGGGAAAAAGTTTGCCACGCCTGCAATCTATCTTTTACCACAGATTGCATTTCGTATTGCTCGTAACCAATTTCAAGCAATGGCTACAGAAGATGGACTCACAGTAATCATCAAATACCTTGGGAGGGAACTCTTCAACGGATACATGGACCCACAGCGACAAGTGGGAACACTGCACAAGATCCTTGCTCAGGCATTTTGGCCGATCCATCATGGCCGATCTATGGCAATCATCTCACAAGCTCACTCGCTTGGAGATCGAGTTCGTCTTTTTGAATTGACTGCTCGGGATGCAGAAGGAAATCCCCATCCAGTAGTACTATATCTCCAACCGCCACAGCAAGGAGGAGTCAATTGTGGATCCAAGAACGAACATCACCACTTGTTGCACACTAAACTGGCAGAACTTTTCCATCAAAGTGGTATTTCAGTTGCCCAGACACCTGCGAAGGTTGAAGACCTTATCAGACAATATGGCACATCGAGAATCACTCACCTGCTGTTCTCTCAATCTGGAGCAGACAAGTGGTCAGATTTCCGCAAATTATGCCGAGAAGCCCAAGTGGAACTGCCATCTCAAGAAGAACTCCATCAGATGCAACAGAGCAAGTTCCAGAAGCTAGCCAAACAACAGGCCAACAAGGCACGTCAAGACCCTGACGTTTCGGACTTTCAGCTTCGTCAAGGTTACTTCCAGTACAATGACGGGTCGCCTGCACAGATTCTTACGGCTATCACTCCCTGGACGAGAGGTATTTGCCTGATGGATATGGAACAAGCAGCCCCTGGCTTAGAGAGGTT